ATGGTGGTGGTGCCGTGATGGTGGTGGAGACGTGATGGTGGTGGTGCCGTGATGGTGGTGGTGCTGTGATGGTGGTGGAGGCGTGATGGTTGGAGACGTGATGGTGGTGGTGCCGTGATGGTGGTGGTGCCGTGATGGTGGTGGTGCCGTGATGGTGGTGGAGACGTGATGGTGGTGGTGCCGTGATGGTGGTGGAGACGATGGTGGTGGAAGCGATGGTAGGAGACGTGATGGTGGTGGTGCGAGGTGGTGGTGACGTGATGGTGGTGGTGCCGTGATGGTGGTGGAGACGTGATGGTGGTGGTGCCGTGATGGTGGTGGAGACGTGATGGTAGCCGTGATGGTGGTGGAGACGATGGTGGTGGTGCCGTGATGGTGGTGAAGCCGTGATGGTGGTGGAGACGTGATGGTGGTGGTGCCGTGATGGTGGTGGTGCCGTGATGGTGTGGTGCGTGATGGTGGAAGTGAATAGCGGTGGTTTGATATAGAAGCGATAGTACAGGTATAGATACAGGTACAGGTATAGGTTAATTACAGGTATAAGGAAAAGGTTAGTTACAGGTAGGTAGTTGTATGGTTAATTACAGGTATAGGTAAAGGTTAGTTACAGGTATATGTAGTTACAGGTATGTAGTTACAGGGTAGTGTTAGTTATGTATAGGTACAGGTAAAAGGTTAGTTACAGGTATAAGTACAGGTGAAGCTAGTTACAGGTATAGGTAGTTAAGGTATAAGTTAATTACAGGTATAGGTGTTGTTATGTATAGATACAAGTGGTGATGTAGGTACAGTAATAGATTCAGGTGTAAGTACAGGTAGGCTACAATTTCGATACAGATATTACAAAAAGAATTACAATAACAAATAAACACAATTTAACAACAACAAACAATATATATCACTGTGTCACATCAACTTCAAACAACGACAACATACATACATACATACATACATACAATACATACATACATACCATTACTACGTTTACTTCTCTGTATTAATTCATCAATATTAATGCTGGATTATGGAGTGTTTTGTTAGTGGTGTTAAGTGTTAGCTCAGTGAGTTATAAGTTATTATTCAGAAGTATGTGCTTATATCGCCCTTAATACCTGCATCTATTACGAGTTGAAGATGGAAAAAGTTAATACGAACCATGAACTATTTTTTTAATATGTTTTAAAAGGAAGATCTAATTAATATTGCTCTGGAGAATAGACTCTGAAGTAGAGAGTAAATTATTTATAACTCCACTTTTAATATTTATGACAAAACAAGAAACTGTTCGTGAATATTTTGAGTTATTTTAACTTATTTATGACATTTGTTTATGTTGAAATTTGAGAGGAATTAATATTGCTGTACATAACACTTGAGGCTATAACATAATTTGACTGAAAGAGAATTGAGAGAGAGAGAGAGAGAGAGAGAGAGAGAGAGAGAGAGAGAGAGAGAGAGAGAGAGAGAGAGAGAGAGAGAGAGAGAGAGAGAGAGAGAGAGGTTAAGTTAGAAATGCATACTTCACATCATCTTCACTCTGACATCTTTTCTGGTATTTGTTAACGAGAGACGTGTCCTGTCTCTGCCTTGAGCGATATGTGACATAGATATGAAGGTGAGACAGAAAGAGAGAAAGAGAGAGAGAGACATGCAAGTGACATTATTGTGAGATATAAACATGAGTCATCGTTATTAAGACACGGTTGTAAATTTTATATTCAACAAAGTATGAGGAAATTTATTGTATGTTGAAGTTTATTTTTAATGACGATAATAAAATGAATCCAATTATTATTATTATTATTTTGACAATGATTAAAATTAAAACAAAATGTTTATCTCATGTTTTAAAATATCTATTGTTTATTTAAAGCAAAGTGAAAATATATATATTTCAGTTTCGGTGATATTTCAAACTGAGAAAATCCAATAAAATGTTTCCAGGAATTAATATTAATCGATTAGTTCCATAAACATAAGATATATATAAAACAAATAAAACTTACGACGGTGAAATCTAAGTAATGTTGCGTTAGAGTGTTGATGGGGGTGATGGTGATAGGGTGGTTAGGGATGATGGTGATAATGGTGGTGGGTGGAGATGATGGTGATGATGGTGGTGGGTGGAGATGAGGGTGATAATGGTGGTGGGTGGAGATGATGGTGATAATGGTGGTGGTGGAGATGATGGTGATAATAGTGGGTGGAGATGATGGTGATAATGGTGGTGTGTGGAGATGATGGTGATAATGGTGTGGTGGAGATGAGGGTGATGATGGTGGTGGGTGGGGATGATGGTGATAATGGTGGTGGGTGGAGATGAGGGATGATGATGGTGGGTGATGATGGTGATAATGGTGGTGGTGGAGATGATGGTGATGATGGTGGTGGGTGAGATGATGGTGATGATGGTAGGTGTAGATGATGGTGATAATGGTGGGTATGATGGTGATAATGGTGGTGGGTGGAGATGATGGTGATAATGGTGGTGGGTGGAGATGATGGTGATAATGGTGGTGGGTGAGATGAGGGGATAATGGTGGTGGGTGTAGATGATGGTGATAATGGTGGTGGTGGAGATGATGGTGATAATGGTGGTGGGTGGAGATGAGGGTGATAATGGTGGTGTGGGTGGAGATGATGGTGATAATGGTGGTGGGTGGAGATGATGGTGATAATGGTGGGTGGAGATGATGGATAATGGTGGTGGGTGGAGATGAGGGTGATAATGGTGGTGGGGAGATGATGGTGGTGATAGTGGTGGGTGGAGATGAGGGTGATAATGGTGGTGGGTGGAGATGATGGTGAAATGGTAGGGTGGAGATGAGGGGTGATAATGGTGGTGGGTGGAGATGATGGGATAATGGTGGTGGGTGGAGATGATGGTGATAATGGTGGGTGGAGATGATGGTGGTGATAGTGGTGGGTGGAGATGAGGGTGATAATGGTGGTGAGGATGATGGTGATAATGGTGGGTGGAGATGAGGGTGATAATGGTGGTGGGTGGAGATGATGGTGATGATGGTGGGTGGAGATGGAGGGTGATAATGGTGGTGGGTGGAGATGATGATGGTGATAATGGTGGTGGGTGGAGATGATGGTGGTGATAGTGGTGGGTGGAGATGATGGTGATAATGGTGGTGGGTGGAGATGAGGTGATAATGGTGGTGGGTGGAGATGAGGGGGATAATGGTGGGGGTGGAGATGAGGGTGATACGGTGGGTGGAGATGATGATGGTGATAATGGTGGTGGGTGGAATGGGGGTGGTGATAGTGGTGGGTGGAATGATAGTGATAATGGTGGTGGGTGGAATGATGGTGATAATGGTGGTGGGTGGAGATGATGGTGATAATGGTGGTGGGTGGAGATGATGGTGATAATTGTGGTGATAGTGGTGGTGGAGGATCGTCAGGGGGGGGGGTACAGTATTTATCCTCAAGGCGTCATGACTCACCAATTCTATCTTATTATTATCATCTTCTGCATCATCCACCTTTTATCTGTCTACCGTAAACACATAACATCTTTACTGACTCCTGCCTCTCTCCCTTCTCTCTCTCTCTCTCTCTCTCTCAGAAATTCCTTTTATCTTTCAAAGTAAGAACAAATTTGTCTGATTCACTTTATTAATATCTAAGTAATACTACAACCAACACATGCAAATTAGTGTACCTGAATTTAGATCTAATTATTTACCTGTAATATTTCTGAATTATGTTGACGGTGTATTCCCCTCTTATCCTTTCCTCCCTCACCCACAGTACCTCTCTTCCTTCCCTCACCTACTTCTCTTCCTTCCCTCATCTTCTTCTACCAACGATAACCACAACACAGGAGAGATAACCTCTTCAGGATGATCCCGCCCTCCCTCAACCCCCTGGCGTGTTATTCTACTGAAGGAAATCTGCTCTCACATTCTGTTTTCTTCCTACCTCCTCCTCATCCTCTTGCCCTCGTCGTGCTTGGGTTACTTAACAGTACATCACCCGCCCGCCACCACCATAAGCTGCAAGGTGTTCTACTGGAAGAGGCGCTGTAGGAGGGGTAATGGTGACAGATGGCCCCCCCCCCCCCCCCCCCCCCCCCCCCCCCCCCCCCCCCCTCTCTCTCTCTGGTTACTATTCTGTACCATACCTGATTTTACCTGTGCATGAACCATAATCATACCTGTACATGTACGTACACCTGTATTAATGAGTAATATAACCTCTACATTTACCTATATACCATATGAACACCTGAACACCACATTTGAACACTTGGACATGTACCATAAATGAACTTGAACACTTGAACATATATAGTTATGAACACTTGAAAACTATACCTGAACAAATTTAAACCCTAAACACCATATGTGAACAAATTTGAACACTTGAACACCACATACGAGCAAGCAAGGATGAACACTATATGAACAAACTTGAACACCTGTATACCAAACCTAATCAAGCATAAACAACATAATTGAACAAGCTTTAAAAAATATAGAACACAATTTTAAACCCTCTCCTCCATCAAGAACACACATTGGAAGCTAAATGAACACTGATGAGATAATGAACACCACCTCTGTAAGAAACACAATTACTATGCGAGAAAAGAATTTCAACACAGCGTTCGTGGATTCACCTGGATACTAATGGTTATATAACTCAATATTTACTCAGGGGTAAAACAAAAATAATTCTTTTCATTTCGTTTAAAAAAAAACAACAAAAACACATCGGGTAGGATTTTTTTGGTTAATTATTCGTTTGTTTTGGTTTTGTATGGTAGAAGAGGAGATCTCCATAAGCCAGCCCATGCTAATGACATAACCAAATCAATGTTATGGGCAGGTATAGCCTCCATTTTCACCTACTTAGCCCTAAAGGGAGTATCCACGGCTGATTTTGAGAACAAGATTTAGTTATTTTGGGTTTTCTAGAACGCGGAATGATACACAGAGAGACGGATTGATCGTTCTTGCACATGACGTCAGCACCTAGTGACTCACCTTCCAGCTGAGTAGGTGTACAGAGAGGTGTTTCTTACAGTATCCAGAGCGTTGTGTCCCAGCACCGTGTCTGGCCTGGCTTATATAGTCTCTGCCTCTCCTCTGCCGCCTACTGCTGCTGCTACGTCACACACACACACACACACACACACACACACACACACACACACACACACACACACACACACACACACACACACACAAACAATATATACTCAGTATTCACTCACACCCAAACATGTACAAAAAACTACCAAGTTATATATACACCTAGATAAGAAAACATACATACATACATACACACATACAAACTGTACATACATACATACATACATACATACATACTGTACATACATACATACATACATTCATATCCACAAGCGTGTCACTTTATCTTTCTCTGTCTTTCCTTTCTCTCTCTCTCTCTCTCTCTCTCTCTCTCTCTCTCTCTCCTCTCTCTCTTATATCTAATAGGAAGTGTCTGTGTGTCGTATAAAAGTGTTTCTGTGCTGTGTCAATCATCTGTTTCTGGGCCGTTAACTTAGAGCCTCAGTTCCCCCCAAACCCTTCCACAGATCTCAAACATACAAACACACTCCAGTAACACATCTTTTCTCTACCCACATCCCTATAACTTTCTAGCACACTCCAATAACACACACTTTTACCACATCCCACAGCTCTAACACACTCATAACACACCTTTTCTCTACCACATCCCTACAGCTCTAACATTCCAAGTAACACATCTTTTCTCTCCCACATCCCTACAGCTCTCTTGTTCCAGTAACACATCTTTTCTCTACCACATCCCTACAGCTCACCAACACACTTCAAACACACACTTATACAATCCTCGGGTTAACCTACGAATTTATAAAGTATTTAGATAAGGTGAAATTCCTTCAGTGTCATCCAAGGTTTATATACATACCTGAGTTAATGTAATCCTAGGAACTAAATAATTTTTTGAGAATATAATCACTCCCTCCTTCCATACCTCTCCCCCTTTCTCCCCTCCCCTCCCTCCTAACCTTCCAAGATATGAGAGACTCTAGTGTAAGTTTGTCTCTGTACAATAATAACCTGTGTGTATATCTCACCATGAGAACTTCCATGAGATGCCATTTGAGTTTAAATACAGGGAGACTTGGAGGTGGTAAATGTTTATGATTTATCTGAATTTGGGATGATAATATGTATGATTCTCTTTGGCATGGAGTGTTGTATAATCATCAGGTTATTGTATAAATATAAGGTGGGTTTTTGTTGTTATTTATCTATGTTACTGTCCATACACAAACACACACATGGCATGTTTGGCCCACGTTCATGTTGTATTATCATCATAACTTAATTATATTTTATAAAGTCATTCAGGTTGTTGATTGATTTTTTTTATATATATTTTGTTCTATACGACGGTAGGTGACATAATTCCTTCCTGGTGTGATATACCCAAGACATCCTCTACTGATGACCATGTTGGCGACGAGGAAGGAGAGTGGAAAGATGGGGAGAAGGAACAGGTGGAAAGAAGGAATAGGGATAAGGAGAGAGAAAGAGAGGTGATGGAAAGCAGGAAGGAGGATGGAAAGGAGGTGGGGGAGAAGGAAGGGTTGGAAGGACACATCTTTCTTTGTCACCTAAACACCTGACTCTCAATCCCTCACTACTAACACCTAATCCCCTTTCCAACCCTAACACATCTCCACCCAACATTCACTGACCCTAACAGCTCACTAACCTAACACCTGACTCTCACACTAACCCCAACACAACCCTAACACACAACCTAACACCTAACCCTCACCTGACCCCTAACACCAGCACTCGCACCTAACCTCACTACTAACTCTCACACCTAACCCCAACACCAGCTCTCACACCTGACTCACACCTAACCCTCACCTGACCTAACACTGACTCTACTATTTCTTACCTGACTCTCACTAACACAACACACAGCTCTCACACAGCTCTACTAACACTGTCTCTGCTCACACAACACAGCTCTCCCCCTACTCCTCCCCCTCACCCTAACACACAATACTAACCTAACACACATACCTAACACACACACAGCTCTCTACCTAACCTAACACCTGACTCTGCTCTTCTTCTTCTTCTAG